ATGCAGTAAGCCAATAGTGAGATTCAAAAGCAATATTTATAACCACTGGTGAATTTTCAATGTTATGATCTTATATTCAGCAGAGAGTACTTCTAAGTTAGAAGCCTCTACATATCAACCTGATTGGAAAGAATAAGTCAGAAAGTAATTTGTGAGTGGTGCTATGCCTGCAATCATTTACTAGGAATATAATAAGAAACAAAACGAAATGTTACACAGGTAATCACATCCTGTTGACTTAATACTGTATTACAAGAGAACAAAAGAGAAAAATTCCATTCAAAACATTGCAGTAAATACTACTAGAGAAAAGAATCAGACACTCGGAATTAGATCTAGCCATTCTTCCATCATAGATTATAAGCAAGATTTTCTTTATTTTAAAACAAATAGACACATGCAATAAATAATAGTAAATAATAACACCTCTCTGTATTTGTTAACTTCTTAACAAAGGCCACATGCTTTGCCTATATTAAGCCCGAAAAACAACAGGAAATCTTACTGTGATTATTGGGCATGTGATTACCAGGACATATGCCAGACTAGTTAATAAACCAAGCAAAATAATATTTGTCAGGTGGAGTACATAAAATTAGTGTGCTAGCCACACCTCCTGTTTCTGATTCAAATACTTAAGAAAAATTTTTTTTTTAATTCTGGCCCTGAGAACTGTGCATGAGCTCTTCAGCTCAAGGCAAGAGCTCTACCATTTTAGCCACAGTGCCACTTCTGGGTTTCTGGTGATAAGAGATAAGAGTCTCACAGGCTTTCCTGCCAGGGCTGGCTTTGATCCAGGATCTTCAGAACTCAGCCTCCTGAGTAGCTAGGATTACAGGTGTGGGCCACTGGCAAGAGAAATAACTTAAAGAAAAGTTTGCTAATGATTTACAACTTCAAGTGTTTGAGACCAAAGTCAGCTGAATTCCTCGTTTGCCTGAGGTGAGTCAGAACATCATGACTACAGAAACCCGTGGGCAGCTCCCCGATTCATAGCTGCCAGCAAGCAGAAGTGGAGAGGAGAGGAAAGGAAGCAAGGAGAGAGCAAAATAATATGATGTCGTTTGCATGAAAATGGAAGGCCCTTGAAAGAATTGAGTGAAGCTAACCAGGCTCAGAGAGACCAAAGGTGTGTGAGTTCTCTCACTGGTGCAAGTTAGAACTAAAAATAAATTTGAAAACACATGCAGGGCCGTTAACACACACACACACACACACACACACACACACACACACAATCAAAATGGTTAAGTGACTATTCATAGGAATGAGTTTCTTTTGTTTAACTCCTTTGAATAATCATCAGGCACTTCAACCTTAATCACAGAAAGCTGAAACTTTGACCAAATTGGGAACTAAAAGGAGGAAGATGGGCAAATGCCAACAGGAATAGTATACAGTTGATATATATCTGGAGGAAACAAATGGGAACTGCAGGAGAGTCTGAGGACAAGATATAAACAGCAGAAGAATGATGGGATGATAGAAATGGAGACAATACTTAAGATGTAGTGTCCACATAAACTGCTTTCTTCATCGGAAACTCTTTTGTACAACTATTTCAAGAAAGCAAGAAAAAAAAGGTACTTAAAGGGAAATTATAGCCCTTCAAATGAAATAGTTGACATTCCTGATATAAAGAAAGGTTTCATTGATTTCCTTTCTCTGATTCTCTTGAAAGACTAATATTCAAATTGCCTTTTTATTAAATGCAACCGTTATTCATTTATGATGACTGGATTTAGTTTTATATAGATTTTTTTAACCATTTGTTTTTCTGAAGTACTCATTGGTTTTGATTCCAGAAGAGGAATTATGGCTATGATGCATTTTGATCAGTTTCACTCCTTTCATTAATTCCCCATCCAATCTTTTATTTTAAGTTTTCTAGTTTCAATTATTTTTTTTACAATGAATACAATGATTGCATTTGTTCACCCTTCTTCCCTCCTCTGGCATTGCCCACTCTCTTCTAGAACAGGTTTCAGCTTCCTGATATTAATTTTCTTAATCTACTTGGTAATAGTGAAGAGGGGTTAGATCGTTGGACTACTCTGTTTGTGTGTGTATTCATATAATCCTGTATGATATCATGTATGTTTGGATTTTAGATTTAACTTCCACATATGATTGAATACATGAGCTATTTGTCTCCTTGAGACTGACTTCCTTTAGCATAATTTTTTTCTAGGTCAATCCATTATGCTGTAAATGACATATGATTGTTTCTGATAGATGAATAACATTTCATTCAATATATGTAGCACACTTTTTGGATCCTCTCACCCACCATAAGTCATCTGGGCTTTTCCATAACTTAACTATTGTGAATAGTGCATCAATGAATATGCAAGTGACTTAAATTAAACTTTGCAAAACATAATTTCATTATTTTAGTGCGAAGAATATCCTTAACAATCTTTATATTTCCCCCACTTGAGGCAATCCCATTCTTGCATAGTCTCCTTGGAAAGGCAATCTTAATTTTCTCAAGTGATATAAAAAGACAACACACATTCCCTTTATAAAATATTTTCATAAATCCTTTGCTTGTTCATTTCTATATCAATTCAAATTCTACTTACATAATTACCATACATGATAAAACATTGTTCTTTTCAATAAGGATGCTTGAGGCTTTTTCATATGCATGAATTAGATGAATCACTTATTATCACACTATTATAATTTATTTTGATAAGAATAATGTTCTTTTCTGTTTAGCTCCAGGAAAGTTTTCCTGAACTGCCTCAATTATATGTTCATAATGTTTGAAATCTGTGGGGTCTTTTGGGCCTGAACTTGAGGCTTTCCTCTAAAAGTCATTACAACCAATCAATTCAGTGAAAAAGAGAAGATAAAAAGAAATGGGTTAGTGTCCTATGCTTGAAATCATCCAAAGAGTAATCCTTTTATTTTATTTTATTTTTGTCTATCTGGGCTTCGGCATTGTCCCTCAGCTCCTCAGCTCAAGGCAAGCACTCTACCACTTGAGTCACAGTGCCACTTCCAGTTTTCTGGTGGTTTATTGGAGATAGAAGTCTCACAGACTTTCCTTTCCTGGGCTGGCTTTGAACTGTGATCCTCAGATCTCTGCCTCCTGAGTAGCTAGGATTACAAGTGTGAGCCACTGGCACCCAGCAATCCTTTCTATGCTTAAACAGCTATTTTTTTTTACCTTGAATACATGAAAGAATCTTCTCTCTGCAGTGAGGCTAGTATCTATTAAAAAATTATAAACTTGGGGAGGGGTACATCAATGAAGAGAAGAAGGGAAGAATACAGTAAAGAATTCCTTGTATATAGGACTATATTAAGAAATGAAAAGGAAGGGGTAGTTAGCATGGGGGTGAATGGGTGGAGGTGACTGATAAAGGTGCATTGTATTCATAAGTTGTTTATTTAAATGACAACTTTGTTGTGCAACTATTCTAAAGATAATAAAAATAAAATATTTTAAAATATAAACGTGTTTATGAATTACAATGGAATTGTAAAGTGTGAGTTCGAATAAGTCATTGATATTTTGTGCAAAAATGATATTATTAAAATGTGTACATTAAAACTTGGAAAAGCATTTTTAAAGTAATAAATGGTAAGCCACACATTGATAGTTCAATCTGTAATCCTAGTTACACACAAAGGAAAGATCTAGAACTTCAAGCTTCAAAGGCAGCCCAGTCAGGGAAGTCTGCAAGTCTCGAAAACCACTAGATAAGTGTTACTAGAGATGTGACTCAGCTGGTAAAGCACTAGTCAAGTGAGCAAGCCAGCAAGGGAGAGGCTCTGAGGGCAAACCCCAGCACCACCAAAACATAAAAGTAAAAATAAAGGTAAGTAGCATCCAAGGTTCAGATGATTTATTGTTCATGAAATATATTTTATTCATATATGTATATACATTGTAATATATATTGTGTACAGGAGGATTTTTTATTTTACCTTGTGAAATACTTAGTAGGATGAAGTAGTCCTCTGGAAAATGTGTTTTTATTTAAATGCAAGCTTCTACTGAGAAAGTCACGTATGCAAAATCACAAGTTGGATATGTGCTATTTCTGATTATCTCATTCACACCAACTAGTCATGAATAAAATGTATTTAAGGACCTAATGGTACTATAAGGAGCACACATGACATTTATATATCATTTATGGAATCAGACTTGCCACTTCATATTATTTATGTATAGCTAAATAGATGCTAGATAGATAGACAGACAGATAGCTAAACAGACAGACAGACAGAGAGAAAGGTAGAAAGATAGATTTATTTCTTGTTAAAGATGGTTTCTGGCAAAAATAAATAGGCAAGGAAGTTCCTGTATTGACATATATTAAAATGACTCTGTCGTGTTCAATTGTCTACATTCCACAAATATTTATTATTAATCTTAGGATGATGATGATCTTTAAGTATCCACGCTAGCTAGTTTAAACTCAACATGTCAAGTTATATGTACAATGAAAATGTTTTTTAACCTGAAACTCTAAAACTCTGGGAAGAAGTGTGTAAATTGCTGTGTGAAAACAAAAAAAGACTTCTGTTCAATTCAATATGGCCACCTGAGCTCACAGTTCTAAGGAGAATGAGCAGTGAAATGTTCAGCACACCAGAAGGATTTGACTTAGTGATACTGTTGAGGGGTCATGTGCTCCAAGAAATTGAGAGGCAATCATCTCAATTAGGGGAAAAAAGTATGGTTGGGGAAATGTGTTTGCAAATAAATGTCTTAACAAGCCTGTTTTAAGGCACGTGGAGGCGCTATTTTTTTTTCCTCAGAAAGATGGCATTCACTCAGAAGTATACTTAAAAGTGTACTTTAAAAGACATGCTATAAAATTGAATCTATCAGCTGTGTATTTCCTATCTATCTCCTGTCTTATTGTACATCAATCTACAGTTCTAAAAACAATAGATATACGTACCTGAAGAAGAATCCACATTATTTCTCGATCAATGTGAAACTCATCCTGGCTTTTTAACCATGTGTATTCCAGGAGTTATCAGAACTGCCTTACACAACATGGATAGAGAAGCCAGAGAGCACTACTCGGTAGTCATCCAAGCCAAAGACATGGCGGGACAAGTTGGAGGGCTTTCAGGATCTACAACTGTCAACATCACCTTGACCGATGTCAATGACAACCCACCCCGTTTCCCTCAGAGTATGTACACGTTGCCTGTTTCCAATGTTTCACTATGCATTGACATAAAACAAAATGAAGTGTTTCAATATACAAGAGTCATGTGTGCTCCAGGGGAAATAGGTTAACTCTATGTAGGCTTTCTTTTGATCTCCCTTGTTTTTCCTATGTTTCTCTTCAACAATGCATACTAAAGAAATGCTGATACTATTTGTCTCCTAAAACTGAGACATGACTAGTCTTGTGCTTAAACTAGGGATTTCTGTTGTCATCTGTTAAATAGTATAAATGATGCAGCAGTCCTACTTCATAAAGTGGGTTATGTAGTTCTTAAAGCAATCATGGAGATCATTTTAATTTGGTTTGATATAGACACTTTATTCATACAATATCATTCTGATTTGGGCCATATTCTATGTCTAAAGATTTGTTTTTGATCCCATGTCATACATGACTACAGGTGGGTGCACACATGTTTCAATTAAAAGTAGGTTATAACTAATTTAATAAGATGGAATTTCACAATACATTGTGATTCTAGAACTCAGAGACCATACTGTAAAAGGTATTTCAGGGAATCAGGGAAAGTATTAACTCTGTGAATTTGGAAAGAGAGGGTGAATATGACGTCCTCAGAATATTGAACCAAGATGTCCTCAGAATATTGAATTGAAATGTGACATATGGGAGGGATAGGGAAAGTACTGTGTATGGCATTTTATCTAAGAATGATAACATTCAATTACAGAAAACAATCCAATAGAGGCTTAACATAGTTGTCAACTTACAAATGATAGTGAAACACTGTTATTGAACAGACAGCATAGTGTAGCAATGGAAGTTCTTTCCAAGTCAATATGAAAAGCTTTTTCCCAAGATTATATTTTTAATTTAAATTTTCTTGTAAAGGTGATGTACAGAGGGTTTATAGTTACATAAGTCAGGTAATGAGTACATTTCTTCTGAAATTACTTCTAGGTCTAGCTCTGATGGGAAACTCCTAGTGTTTGCACATCCTTCTTTAAACTAGAAATCGTGTGGGTCTATTGTATAATGTCTTTTCTACACTTTCCTCTGAAATGGCTTTTAAAAAATTAGCATTTTCTTCTTTTATTAGTACTTTTCAGTCTTATTTCCCTCCTTTACTACTGGGATAGCTTCTAATACAGAATGGCATTGAAACATTTTTGTTATGCAAACTGATCAGCCCAGTGACCAGTCCTAGATAAATGATTATTACATGAATGACTGAGTTAGTTAAATTTAAATACCCTGACAAACTATCATTCTTTAAAAGACCATTATTAAAGACCAGTGAAATTTATGGGTACATAAAAAAAGAACTTTAAAATATTGCTGCTAGAAAGAAAGTTATGTTAACTGGTCTATTTGTGTGGCCTTTGCATTATGAAGTAAGCATATCTGAAAGAAAATTATAGATAATCAATAAGTTATATTTAACTGCATAGTGAAATTTCAAAACATTTTATAAATCACAATTTATTTTTATATATCACTTAAACAACATAATATCTACATACACATATGTTGCTATAAAAAGAAGAGCATTAGCTCATAGCATGAGGCAATTGAAATCAAAATTTGTTTTAGATTCTCCTTTTTTTAATACATGTGTTACTTCCATGAATACATACAATGTACTTTGATCAAATTCATCCCTTTATTGCTTTATTACTTTTCTTCTTTACTTTATTAAAAAAGTTAACAAGTTTCTTTATTCAATTTTTCATCTATTCATATAAAGTAATTTAATGATATTCAAACTTCCTTGTCACTCTGTCTTTTTACCCTCCACTCATTGTAAAACCAAAAGAACCATTCCATTTTGTTTCCCATTATCTTTATTTGTTCAAATATTTACCAAATTACATTTGATAGAGAATATAGGATACTTGTGTTAACTCTAGTGCAGTTTATTTCTCTTAATATAGATTATCTAGCTCTACCTATTTTCCTAAATCTGACATATTTTCAATCTCCTTTATAAGTTGAATACAACTTCATCTGCAACATATTATATTTTGCTTCTCGGTACATGTATATATGTATTGAGACTTTACACCCATGATACAATATCACATCAATTAAAAACAAAACAAAGACTAACAATCCCTACATACAGCTACAGTTATTTTTATAACACTAAATTGTCTATATATTTGAAAGTGGATTCTACCGTAAGTATGTACATGTTTGTAGAGATCATTCATCGTCAGGCTTCATGTTAGCCAGGCAAGTACTCACCACTTGAGCTACCCAAGGCCTGAACACCATAATGGTTTTTAAATATATAGTAATGCCAAAGTTCTTATAGTAGACACACACTGAAGTTGTACAAATGTTGTTGCATACAATACACAAGGGGCCAATGAAGTGCTCATTTGTCACCGATTTTCATTTTCTCTCCTTATTTCTTTAAAATACCTTTGCCCTATGTAAGCTCATTAATATTTATTATAGATAATCACAAATAATTACAAATTTTACTTATGTGGTTTATTAAATATTATCCATAAGGATGATATCGCATATGTATGTATTTCTCATTGTGTTATTTAGATGAATAACAGTGATGTATTGTAAACATCAGTCCACAATGAAAATAATTGCTCTATCTGACAAACAGAAAACAACTACACTGAGTGAAATTTCACTGAAGAATACAATTCACAGAGGAAGATCTTACCACACCTACAGAAATAATCAGTTTTAAAATCGAGGCAGGACAGACTCAGAACCTTTCAATATGCCTTGTTTAAAAGATATATTTTATTTGGACTTCATTACACAAAACAAGATGCTAATTTGGTGTCACTGAGAAAAAATTAGCCCACTGTAAAGTGTCCTTTAATTTCACTCTATGTATTGTAACTCATCCAATAACTACTTTCATAGTGTAAAAATGCTTTTAACTTTTTATGAGGATTTAAATTCACAAAGGACAGGACATGTATAAATTCATAAATAATTCAAATTACTTAAAAATCATATTCATTCATCAAATCCAAGTTTCTCTTAATTTGTGAGGTTTTTCAAAACTGTTTCTTTTCTTTCTTTATGTGTCAGAAATAATTCTTTCTTACACCTTCATTCTAGTTGCCTCTGCTTTCAATGTTTGTCACAAAAAAAATTTTTTAATCCCTTTCAAAGAGCCTAAGATGGTATATTTTCTTTTGATATCTCCTGATTCCTTACAATTTGGTCTTAAGATAAATAAGCCTGGTGTATGTTTATGGGAGTGAGAGTGAACTAAATTGGTTAAGGGACCTTTCAGGGTCTTCCTTTGGGAATCATAGTCTCAAGTGGCTTATGATGCAAGGAAAGCAAATACCTCAAAGAACTCAAATCCCTCTTCTTATCAGGAAGATGCCCAAGGGAAGATAGAGACAAACATGCCTACATATCAACATAAAGCATGGTCACTGCTCCTTTCAAGTCAATGCCCATATTTGAGTTGTAGAATTTTAAGAAAAGGAGCCCCTTATAAGATTCACATTGAAATGAAATCAGTCCACCTAGTTCTTAATATATGCAAGTGGTGACCAATTCTCCTTGAGATAAAAAAACATAACAATTATTCAAAATGTAAAACCTTTTCCATAGAAGTCATTTTTATTGAGGTAATCTACTCAGCTTCTTGAAATTCTTTTCATTTCCTGTTCCTGCTTCTAACAGTGTTCCAATGGGTAGTAAGCTAAATTATTCTTAGGAAAGAAGAGGAGTCACTGATATTTATTATTCTGCATAAAGCATACCCATGTAAAATTCAACGTCTGGCATGAAGCTTTGCAAAGCAGACCTTCTGCATTCTTAATAGAAGGAATTGTACTCTTAGAAATTCCCTCATAAATAATTTAGTTGGAGAAAGAATAACCACATGCCAAATAATCACACAAAATAAAACAGTGGGAACTTTGATTATCTAACAAAACTTTGCCAAGCATATAAAATGCTTGAAAAAATTTGAAGTCAATCAACAACTTAAGTGCACTTGTGACCCACAATTGATAGCATTTAATATTGGAGGTTTTGAGTCCACAGACTTGAATACTGGCAGCATTTCTCACTGAATTATCTAAACATCAAAGATGTTTAATCAATTTGAGTAAATATTAATGAAAAGAAACATCTCCTATTATTAAGATATGAAGTATGTTTTTGAATTATGAGAGAATTGATATCCATTTAGATTGTTTTATGAGATATACCTATGTGTTTTACTATGTTCACAATATATTTTGGAAATTGCTGAGGATTTTTTAATGCAGGAGGTAGTTAATTTTGTAAATGATCTTAAAAGCTTAAAAAAATCAGTGAATTTTGTAACTGCTTGGTTAGTATCTAATAAATCAGTCGCCATTATAATTTTCTATGGACTTAGAATATTTTTGTGTAATCTTTACAAAGCTATTTATTAATTTCTCTCATTGGGTAATTCTTATTTTTTCAGAATTATTTTGCTTAGAATCAATTTGAATCCAGAAAAAGCAGGTACAAAAATTGAAACCTTTAGTATTTTTTGCATTAAATTTTTTTATTGTGCTCTGGGCCTGGGAGCTGTACCTCAGCTCTTCAGCTCAAGGCTAGCACTCTACCACTTGAGCTACACCACCATTTCCAGTTTCCTTGTGGTTTATTGAAGATAAGAGTTTCATGGATTTTCCTGCCCAGGCTGGCTTTGAACCCTAATTCTCAGATCTCAGCCTCTTGAGTAGTTAGGATTACAGACATGAGCCACCGGTGCCCGGCTATTGTGCAATTTTTAATATTGTGTGGGTCATAGTGTTCGGCACATTCAGTATGGTAATATCAGAGTTTTTTTTTTCTTTGTTCCTTTTGCTTAAAATGTGTTCCTTATATTGTTCTATATCATTTTGCTTTTAAATACTTATTTTTAATTCATGAGTTTTACTTTTCTGTTTTATTTGATTTTAAATTACTTCACAATTTGATTATTTTAACTACATGTGCTTTATTAATCATGATATATTTAAAGAATG